CGTTGGTATGTGGTGAAAAGGGAGATTTGCATCAATGATATGCAGCTGCAAATTTGCAGCAACTGTGTGATAATATCAAGTCATGTCAATCAGAACATGAAAGAAAAATTTGCCATTTGATTTCCTACACTCAAAAAAAAAAAAGAAAAAAAAAGAAAATTAATAGCCAAACAAGATTTATGTTTTGTGATTGCATATAACATTTCCATTCATTTGGATTCCACGTTTCTAACATAATTGAACTAATAAAGTTGTGTGATTGATATTTCTTAGTTAAACAAAAATTAAACAAATAAGAACAAGATTTATGTAACAATATCAATAAATCCAAATGTTTTAAATGTTTCTTATAAATTCATCTTGTTTGGAGTATGGAGCTGAATTGAATATCAATTGAATATTTATTCCATATTCGGTTAAATCTAATATATTTCAATTATAATAAGTTTAGATGCATTTAAAAAACTCACAAATCAAATCAAAAGATCAAAAACAGTTAATAAAAAACTTTATTGTGATTTAAAAAAAAATTGTATTGATCACCCGCAATCGAATATCGAATATCGAATATTTATTGTCATCTGAACTACACGTCACTGAAATGAACCACACATCCCATCTTGTACCTCACACACACATCATTTCCTTCTCATGCTTGATTACACCTACACAGCTAGATACCCATCATGGACTGATTACCTGCTCTATATAATCACTTTCCATATATATACAGTACAAACACATACACAGTCTTCTTGTTGTTACACTATGAAGCATTTATGCTGTTAGTTGCCTGCATAATCTCTGACTATTCTTTTGAATTGCCTATATACTTACTGCTTGCTTCCGCTTGGACTGTTTATTTAGTTTATATCTACAAAGACGCTGCATTTGGATTCTCAACCCTGTTGCCAGTACCGTTTTTGTACAAGTATATATTAGATTTTAAAATGTGAATTTTCATACAATGAGTTAAATATAATTTGCGGTAAACATACCCTGACAACACTTGAATGTTTTGCTCCACAACATAAACTACACAGACTTCAAATACCTGCTTTCTAAAATATATGTTTTTGCTACGTGTCTTATTAAGATTGTACAGCATACTGCTAAAGGATTGTCAAGTTATGTTAATCATTATTATTTTTTCTAAATGAAAAAAAAAAAAATCCTGCTTATTTAAAAATTCCCATTTAAATATCCAAAGAAAACCCCTGCTGAATGACTCTTCTGGGTTCTGACTTTACATGAACCAAAATCTCTAAAGAAGATATCAAGAACCTTGTTGAGTCTATTCCAGTAGTTATGGAATTATCTCACAGCAATAGAAAAATAGAACTGATAGCCTGGGAAAAGTCGAATGACCGGAATTTTCTGATTAATTTACCCTCTTATAGTTGTATACACACACAACTGAATCATGGTCCTTTGAGATCTCAGACCTCAAGTCAGACCTGTAATCCCCAGAGGCAGGCAACTTGTGTTGTATTCTGATAAGCAAACATGAGAAGAATACAAATAAAAGCCAAAAAAGCGAGCCAACGAGACAGCTTCAATGATTGTGTCCAGCTAAAACCATACAGAGTAACCTCCACTAATATTTGAGCTTGTTTTCATGTTTTTGGATACGATCAGAGACTTTTTTTGAAAACCCTTTTAAATGATTACTGTGATGTTGGTAACATTGAATTGTAGTTTTGGGAAAATGTTTTGGCTTTAAGAGCAAACTAACTCCTGCTATTCTCCAGCACTGATTCTTGGGAAAGTTTTTAGCTCCTTCAATCATCCTCTTAACAGTGTGTTTGGATAGACACATTTCCACTTCAAAGTGGAATCTTAACCCTTCCAGATTACTGGAATTTCCTAATTACTGCCCTGGGATTATCAACATTTTCTTTTAGCCACTTTACATTTTATGAACAATATTTTACTGTAAAACACAGCGCTGTTCTTTAAGTCTTATCACCTCTGAATGACTTAGTGTGGTTGTTTTATCTCATATTTATACCTTGCAAAACCGGAGGTCAAGGTCAGCAATTTCCTGTTCCTATTTCAAAAAACAAATGTGCTAAATAGGACTTAAAGTGGTTCTTCTTTTGACTCAATATAACACCTATAAAAAAACTGTTAAGCACAGTAATGGTTCTTCTGTGTTTTGTTTTTAATTTTAGCTTGATTGAGGCCCTATATAGCACTGTCTTTAAAAGATATAGGTGTTACGATGAAGCACTTTTGAGCTGCACTACAGTGCAGGCCCGTGCAGAGACCGTTCAAAGGGCATGTGCAGGATAATTTTTTTTGAAGTGCGTGGGAGGCGGGGGGGTGGTGTTGTTGTTGCGCTGTTGTCGCGCTGTTGTCGCGCGCGTACTGAAGAGTGGTGTTGTCGCGCGCGTACTGTAACGCCCCATTCACACGGGGCTTCAGCGTCAATGCTTGACTGAAGGCGTGTCTGAAGTTGGGTCTGAAGCAATCGTCATAAAAGCATCAGCCAATGAAATTCAGTCAGCAATAGGCCACTGTCTGAGCTGGTGTATTTGCATACAGTGATCTGATTGGCTGACGCTTTCATCGGCGCTTGAAAAGTTGAGCTAGTCCCAACTTCTGCAGCGAGCTTCTGAAGCGGCGCCAATGGATCCACAATGCAGTTCGGCAACGCCTGACGTCACCCATTCAAAGTGAATGGGAAGCGTTGACGCTGACGCCCCATGTAAATAGGGCGTAACACCCTATTGAGCGCGCGTACTCAAGAGCGGTGTTGTCACGCGCCTACTGAAGGGCGGGACGGAGGGTGTGTCGCGTCGCGGGGGCACTTTTGATCATTTTGGAAGGGCACTTTATATCCAAGACTAAAAAGGGCATGTGCACTGCACAGGTTGAGCCCTATGTGTGCACGTGCCTACTACAGTGGATCAGCAATCAACATTGACATTTATACTTAACTGAACTGAATATCGACATTGACACTGATATTATACTAAACTGAACTGAATCAGTTTTAAAGAGCACCTATGATTAAACTTTCGGAAACTGTTTGGACAGAACTGTCTGTATGTATATGTGTCCACTGTCATATTGGAATAATTAATTAAAACAGGACCCCAATCCCAGTGATTTTGAGGCCCACCGCATTGTGACGCAGGAATGCGGTTTTCTCCAATAGTATTTGGATGCAGCCTTTATGATGCAAGCTGAGATTGCATTCCTCAGCGATGCAATGTCAGACACAATTTACTCAATAGAGTGCGTGACATCACTGTGAGGGGTAGGGTTAGGGGTGGGGTTAAGTGAGTGCATTAAAAATCATTGGATGCAGCTCAGATTGCACTGCAACAGGCCTGCATCCAGGTCTGCATGTGTGTGTGTGCTGCAAACGCAATTTGTGTGAGACTCATCATTTCAGATAGGCTTGAATAAACTCGCCAACAAATAAATCAAATTAACTTGGTATATATGACTAATAAACTGTATTTCAGCGTAATCAGTGTCTGTTTCTGTGCTATTTATCTGACGTAATGCATGATGAGAAGCAGGCATGGACATGGGAGAGGTGGGCAGGCAGAAGCAGTTCATTTTCATTTAAAGTCACAGGCTCCAAAAACAGTAACTGTATACTCAGACAGCAAAATGAGCAGATTCTGGAGGCTTTAATAAATAATCTGATGAGTATTTTGAGCTGAAACTTTACAGACACATTCTAGAGACACCAAAGGCTTATCCTACATCTTGTAAAAGGGGTAAAATGGGTGCGCTTTAATGTAGTTAGAAGTACACCAGCATTCTACCTCTAGTCTCCGCAATCGGGGCTGTTGTTATGGTTTTTATTCTCTTTCCGTCATCAATGTTAAGCTGCTTTGACACAATCTACATTGTAAAAAAGCACAATAGAAAAAAAATGAATTGAATTGAACTTAAAGTGTTTCCCCCATGATTATGATCCAAAGGTGGCTGAGAGAGCTGAAATACATGCAAATTAATAAAACACATGCAAATAAAAAACAGTAACAAATTGAACAAAAATTAATTCAGTTGCTTCCTGAAGAGTCAGCTGTATTGTCAGAATGATTTTTGACATTTATTTTAACAGCCTGATCAGACTGTTCCTTGTTTGTATTTTTGCAGCTATAGTAATCTGACCAAAAGTCAAATAGCAATGAAAGATTCCTCAAAAAATATATTTCTTATATAAATTCATAAGGGTGTCAATAATTATAAATTTTGCAAACATATTTGCTTTTAATAAGAATGTGCTACATTTGCAATGATTTCCTTGATAGTTATGATTTTTGTTTTAAAAAAAGTGTAAAGTTGCACTTATTTTCATTCATTTATTCATTTTCTTTTCGGCTTAGTCCCTTTATTAATCAGGGGTTGCTACAGCAGAATGAACCGCCAACTTATCCAGCATATGTTTACGCAGCGGATGCTCTTTCAGCTGCAACCCAACACTGGTAAACACCCATTCACACTCAGACACACACATATACTACAGACAACTTAGCTTATTCGATTCACCTATTGCACATGTCTTTGAACTGTGGGGGAAAGAGACACTGCAGCGACTTTCTTGCTGAGGCAATCATGCTACCCACTGCGCCACTATGACTCCCCCTGTCCCCTATTTTTTCTTAATAAAATATTACTTTTTTTGGAACCACTAATTGTTACATTTTGTTGTGACACATGGTTATTAAAATGTTGATAAAAAAGAAAAATATTTAAAAAGATGAAAATTATTATGTATTTTCATATACAATAAATATCACTATATTAAGAAGTGTCCAACAATAAAGATAAATCGTTCTTATGATATTTGTACATTATTATGAGTTTTTCTTTTTTTGCTATGGCACACCAAATGACACTTTCTCACACTTGTTATTTTATTTTATTGCTTATTTAGTTTAATTTCCTTGGCTACATCTAGAGAAAGAGAGAGAGAGAAAGAGAGAGAGAGAGAGAGAGAGAGAGAGAGAGAGAGAGAGAGCTGAAGGCGTGAAAGAAAGAGGTGTAACTGCGTTTCAGATACGACGAAGAGTTGAAAGTTTCTAAAAGAGCAGCGCGAGCAGCACCTTCACTCACTGGCATTTATAAGGTAGGTCAAAGGATAAATGCAACTTTATGCTCATTCTCAAATAAAAAAAGCTACTTACACCGTGTCTGTACTGTGGGCGATGAAGTGACAAAAACCGCTCGCTTCTTATGTGACATACTAACGTTAGATGCTATCTCTCACAGTATATAGGCTACTCGTGTTTACTTCTTGTCTCATCGTCTTGCTTAGTCAAAATTTTGTTCAGATATCATACGACTCAGAAAAAGCGAGTCGAACTGTCATAGTCCTACATGTATCTTTTTTTTATCTCAAGAGTTTGTTGGTGCTTCATTACAACTACAATACGTTAACGATCATTGTTCTGTTTTGCGTATTGCGAAACACGTTTATTGGTGTAAGACAACAAAATTCCCACAATGTAAACGAGGAACATGTAATGCCGGAAAAGCCCACTGTATGTTTCATAGGCAATAAAGATGCCTCGTGGGATGAAATACCTAAATGGAAAGCATGTCGTCAGAACAGTGCGGATGTTGCAATGCAAATAAGCAATAATGGCACATATGTGGTGCTGAAAACTATATTTTAGGGGAACCCGGAGCTAGGTGTAACAGGTGCTGTGTCTGTGAATTCTGTCCTGTTAACAAAATTAAAGTATAATAATATTTTTTTTGCTTAGTAAAAAGTTAATAAAACCACAAATAGCATTTCAGACAGAAAGTCTACTGTATAATGATGCCACGACGACGATGCTATATAAATTTTAAATATGCGACGTGTTTAAAAGTATATATGCAATATCAAGTTTTCCCCCATTCTACTCAGTAGTGTTTGGGTTCTCATAATACTTTTCGGTTGCTAAATAATTGATAAATAATGTCCAGTTAATATCATGGGTGGTGATAGAAACTAAAAAAAAATTAAAGTCAAGAATTTGCTGTCTGTATGTGTATTAAAAGAATAAGAAACACATGCACAAATAAATGAATGCAACTAGAAAATCTGTTTCAAGAATTTTGCATAAGAAGTGTGATGGTAATCTGACATAAGTCCTTTGAAACTACTGTTGTAGCATAGGGTCGTGGTTTACATAAAATGCAGCTTCACTGATTCACTTCCTGCTTATAGGAGATTGCAGATAAATATGCAATGATACAAAAACCCAAATGCTGTAGCTTTCAGTAAATGTAACGATAAGAAAAAAGAATGCATATCTGTTCTCGCTGTGCGCCAGAGAAAACAGATGTTGCTTTTCTCCCACATTTCATGAAAGTGACGTGTGATTTTTTTTTCATCTATCTCTGTGTAATGTGAAGTCAATTGCACTTATAGTATAGTAAAAGTATAGGAAGCATACAGTGCATGTCATGTAAATATCATCATTGGTAATGTTTTTACTGTTTAATCTCTCAGTGTAAATGCTTGTTTAAGTGGGTAAAAACACATGTGATTGGTTGTAAATTCTGTAATTAATTAACAGTATTTTGCAGCATCTCACACATTATGAAAACGAGGTTGAGGAAATAAGTTTAACTTGCAGGAAATACATCTCTAGACTGTGTGTTTATGCTATTGTTCAATGCAAACATGAACTGCAAATACCCCTCAAACATTTCATCTAAACAGAAAGAGTCCATATTATGGTTCTGTGACACTATGAAAACATTTACTGCTTTTAAAAGTGTTTATACTTTTAAAATGGTACCTGGCCTGCCAAATGATAACTGGCCCTGCAGGCAGAGGACATCAACATGACGGCATATTGACCTTGTACCCTAATGTCATAGGGATGTTAGATTTTTTTTTGGAAATCGAGTTGACGTCAGAATCCAACGTCAGGCCGACGTCAATGTCCAATGTCTAACCTGAAATCAACCAAATATCAATATCTTATCATGTTACATTTTGACATTGTGTGGACGTTACCACCATGACATCTATCAGACATTGGATTTTGGTCACTTTCCAACACAACCTAAAATCAACCAAATATCAACGTAACGCCATTATTGGACGTCAAAATAAAAAATGTCCTTACACTGGCTACACATTGAATTTTGCAATCTGTGTCATAGCTTCTTACTGCTAAAATTAAGTGAGTGTTAGTTAAAACAGGAATTGATACACAAATGGAACACAAATAAAAAAAAATGACATTTTATTTCTGTTAGCAAGTTGAACTCAAATAAGGGAGATATAGCTTATAAAAATACAGAACACTTATGACAGAACATGGCTGAAACAACTTCGAAATTGTACTTTGCTGTTGCTTGCTGCTAGATTATGTCACTGGCAATACTTTCAGTGGACTAATTAGCAAAACACTCATTACTCAATTGGCTAGTAAGACTATCACACAGATGGCAGTCATGCATTTGCTCTGGGCAGGGGAAATAAATAATACAAATATATTTCATGTCTCAGCCTCTTGAGATTATCTAATCGCAATGTTTCAAATCCCGTTTGTGATTTCGATTAATTGCACAGCCCTAACCTGACGTCATGACCTAAATCTAACTTAATATTACAGCATCTTATGATGTTGTGTGCCTGCTGGTTGATGACATTAAATATGGCATTTTTATTAAAGAAAGAATTAATTTCATTAATACATTACAAGTTTAAATTGTAAGTAAATACAAAAATATATCTAAAAAACAAAATTATAAATTTTCATTATAAATTAACAGTAAAACTTATGCCACCTAATCTTACTACAGTAACTTAACACTAAATACCAGTTACCATACTAATCTAACTCAGACTCAAATAACAGCAAACAGTAATCTAAGTATACTACAAAAAAAAAAAAACAGTTCAGCAATTCTTTTGCAGAAACATGGCCATATTTGTAGTTTCTGCTAAAAAAAGACTCCTCTCCTGATTTTCTGCATGTTCTGATCTGAATCATAAGACATCATAAAATCGAGTACATAAAATAAGCAAGTTTAGCAATAATTGATATTACAGTTATATTTCTTTCAGGTTACTGATTTAATGTGTTGTCTATTTATTTGTTTATATAAAGAAGCATATTCCCATATTTTCTACCTAGCACACTTCTGATTTCAATCAACGGGAATGTTATTGACAACGAAACCTGCATTCTGATTTACCTCAAGTATATACTGGTTAGCAGCACTAGATTTCAATCAATGATCAGATAATATTGTTTTATTTTTTTAAATAAACACATCGAAAATATGGGCCAAGCAGTAGGTAGTGCTGTCGCCTCACAGCAAGAAGGTCACTGGTTCGATCCTTGGCCTAGTTGGCATTTCTGTGTGGAGTTTGCATGTTCTCCCTGTGTTTACATGGCTTACCTCCGGTTGGTCTAGATTTCCCCCACAGTCCAAAGACATGCAGTACAGGTGAATTGGGTCGGCTAAATTGTCCGTAGTGTATGAGTGTGTGTGTGAATGTGTGTGTGGATGTTTCCCAGAGATGGGTTGCGGCTGGAAGGGCATCCGCTGCGTAAAAAAATGTGCTGGATAAGTTGGCGGTTTATTCCGCTGTGGCGTCCCTGGATTAATAAAGGGACTAAGCCGAAAAGAAAATGAATGAATGAATGACATCGAAAATATTGGGTGAAATCTAATGTAATTGTATGTTGTTTTGTCAGTCTGCTTTCTTTGCAGATAGCCAGGATGGAAAACATGTCGTCTACTAAATGGACCGAAAATACCAACGACACTGAAATCATCGATTCAAGGTTCCGTTACACTCTCTTTCCCATTTTCTATGGTGTGGTCTTCGTCTTGGGGTTGATAGCCAACTGCTATGCTCTCTATGTGCTTCACCGCATGCGGGAGTCTAAAGCCATGAATGAGATTCGGATCTACATGACCAACTTGACTGTCGCAGACCTGTTGTTTGTGTCTGCTCTACCGTTCTGGATTGACTACTACATGCATGAAGGTCACTGGAGATCCACAGAAGCCTTCTGTCGTATCACAGGCACATTTTTCTTTATTAACACCTATGGCTCTATTCTATTCCTCACTGTCATCAGCATTAACCGTTACTGGGCTGTTACCAAACCCCTAAAGGCAGCCTCTTCTGACTGCTGGAAACGTGGAGCGATCATCTCAGTGCTCATCTGGGCTTTCATCCTTTCAGCATCGATTCCTCAACTTACTAAAGAGGGAATTCAGAAGGAACAAAGAATGAACAGGTCCATGCAACGCTGTTTTGAGGGTTACCACTACACAGATGAAAATACAAAAAACGTATTGGTCATCACTCACTTCAGCATTATTGGCTTGTTCTTCCTTGTTTTCTTAATGGTGATTATCTGCAACATCTCCATCGCTCGAGCTCTTCTGTCTCAACCCATCAGTCAGCCTCGAGCCAGCACAGGACGACGTCCTGGCGGGACCAAACGAAGAGCTTTGAGGATGTTGTGTGCCGTCATTGGCGTGTTTGTAATCTGTTTCCTACCCCATCATGTGGTGCAAGGTCCCTGGGTTTTGTCAGTGCTGCAACTGAAGAAGTATTGGTCCACATGGACTCACCAAACCTTAAACGATGCCCATCAGATCACCCTCATGCTTATGGGGATCAACTGTCTCCTAGACCCATTGGTGTATTGCTTCGCTACCACAAAATTTCGCAAGTACCTCGAAAATCATTTCACAAAGATGAAGAATAGGAAAAACTGCTCACGTTACACGTTAAGCACAGGTATATCACTGAAGAGTAGACATCAGAGCATTGTCAATGCTGTAGATGAAGAGAAAGCATAGCTGGGAAATACCAAAGACTATAGAATACACAAGACATGTCACTCGTATCTTTTTGAATGGGGAAAAGTCTAGTGGTCAATGGGGCGAATAAAGCCCGCCTTCTAGTACAGGAGACAATCATCGATCGCTATATGGCGAAAAAAGCCCGCCTTCTAGTACAGGAGCCAATTATTGATCACTATAGACTGACTAGTCTCCGGGGGAGGGGCTCGAACCAGACATGAGTTTCTGCAGATTTTGTTTGATTTGGATGTTTAGAAAAAAACTAAAGAGACAGTTGTTGTTTAATTTTACTTGTGATTCCTAATATGAAATGTAATCATAAGCTTGACAAGCAGTTTTGGAGAATTTGATGTTTCCCCATTCAAACAGAATGCTTGAGCATACTGCCGAGAGGTGTTTCAGAGATGGCTGTTTGAGTGCAATGACTTTGGAAACACTTGGTCAGAGTCCTGTTCAGACTGTTTGTAGTTTCAGTGGAATTTCACCCAAAAGTGAAAGTCATACGTCAATCTATTCGCCTTACTTATTTTAGGAGAACACAAACTAAGTTATAGTAAATTCCTGATTTTTTTCCAGCTTTGCTTCAAAATGGGCATCCATACATCATAAAAGTAAGTGAACATGCTCTTGTGGGTTTTTTGAATGTCCTCTACAGGCTATATACTGAGATCAGAGAGGAAAATTCAATACATTGAAGAGGTTTTTAAAGACTTTTAATACAATTGAAGACCTCATCACCACATTAGGTTTTAACCAGTAACATTGGCCACATTTTAATTTACAGCATATTTACTAAATGCTGACTGTAAGAAACAAATTTTAAATTAAAACGTTATTCATATACTGATTAAAAAAAGCTGCAGGAATTATAGTGTTGGCCTGCTTACTGCAGAAAACAAAGCAGTGTGAAGTCAAATCTAGCAGGACTTGATCGATTTCATAAGCTACACAACATTCCAATACTCCCAGATTAAATTCAGGCAAGCTTTAGCATGCTAATGCAAAATGTAATACCTTGTAAAATAGCATTTAAGACTTTTAAACACTTTTTAAGGGCCTCTAAATTAACTTATCAACTTTTAATATTTTTAAGACCCTGCAGACACCCTGCACTAAAGCTGCATGTAAATCTTTACAAACCAATGTCAATGCATTCTAGTAACTGCCAATCACAAGAGTTGAGTTATGATGTATGATGTGTGTTAACAACTCATTTAAACGTCTAATAATTTTAAGCATAATTATTTAAGATGTACATAATTTATATAATGAACTATTAAACTCTTACCAGAGTTGATTCTGATACTTGACCCAAAAATAAAAGTGTTTCATCATTTACTGTCTAACATCATTTTAATGACATTACAAACTTGTATAACAATATTAGTTGTATAACAATATTACTAACATTACTAACAGTTCCACAGAATAATGACAGTCATATAGGCTTAGAACAACATAAGGGTGAATGTGTGATGGTAAAACAATGCCACGAACTTGTCTGCACTAGTCTTGGTGAAATTGATCTTAATATCTAAACGGGTAGAAAAATGTGCTATGTGTTAAAGGATTTGTATTCTCCATAAATATGTTGTGGTGTTTATTATTGCCATAAGAATATTGAAAACATGATGTTATCAGAAGACATGGTTGAGTAAGAATAAGGCACATGTGAATAAAAAGGATGTTGGTGGTTGACCTGAAGAAAGCTAGAGGTGATAAGAAGATAGCTGTCATTGGTTATTTTAGTGCTGATGTAGTCTATTTCCTGTCAAATAGCTTCACTATCCATCACGTAGGAGGATATTGATGTTACTTTGGAGTCTGGATTATTTGTCATATGAATTGCACTTTATAAAAGAAGAGGTCGTTTGATTTGTGCCTCATGCCACTGTGACAACAAATATTTATTGTACTGCCTTTCTTTTAGTGAAGTAAATCTGCGAGGAGAATTTCTGTGGGTTAGATTTTGTCCTAAATAGATTTCCACACAGGAAATTTGTTCTTTTGCAATTCTTCGAAATGAGGAACTCATGCACATACCCTTGAAATGTGCACTTAGACCTTTAACAATGACCAGTAAACTGCCCAGTACTTGTTTTAGTGAGATTTAAATTTACAACATTAGTTGGTCTAATTTGTTATCGTTATTATAAACAACCAATCACAAACAATTTACAGCATTGATCTAGATCTGGTTTTAATTTCCACATTCTGTATACTTTTACATTTTTATATATCAAGGTGTTTAAATCAGCGAACACAGTATGAACTAAGATGAATCAACAATGAACTGTAGTTTATTTATAACATTTAACTCAAACAATGCTGTAAAACATTTGTTCAACATTAGTTCACGATACCTTATTAAACATTTCGTTCTATAATGAAATAACTATGAAATAATATATATATATATATATATATATATATATATATTTTTTTTTTTTTTTTTTTTTTTTTTTTTTTACAAAAGAAGTTTGATATGTTGCATCTGTGAACTGCTGAAGATCATTTCATCAACTGGCATTTTATAGTGCTGTGAAGTTATTTATTAAACTGGATGTGATATACAGTTAAAGTCAGAATTATTAGCCCCCTTTTGAATTTTATTTTATCTTTTAAATATCTTTCAAATGACGTTTAACAGAGCAGGGAAATTTTCACAGTATGTCTGATAATATATTTTTTTTCTGAGAAAGTCTAATTTGTTTTATTTCGGCTAGAATAAAAGCAGTTTTAATTAAAAAAAAAAAAAAATATATATATATATATATATATTTTTTTTTAGAGTCTACAGAACAAACCATCGTTATACAATAACTTGCCTAATTACCCTAACCTGCTTAGTTAATCTAATTAACCTAGTTAAGCCATTAAATGTCACTTTAAGCTGTATGGAAGTGTCTTGAAATATATCTAGTAAAATAATATTTACTGTTATCATGGCAAAGATAAAATAAATCAGTTTTTAGAAATGAGTTATTAAAACTTGTTTTAGGAAACAGTGTTTATAAATGTGTTCTCTCCATTAAACAGAAATTGGGGGGAAAAAAATAAAAGGAGCTAATAATTCAGGGGGGGGGCTGTTAATTCTGACTTCAACTGTATATATATATATACATGTCATGTACTGCTGATATCTGTTGTATATGTGTGCTTGACATATAATGCATAGCACAACAAGACTTTCGTTCTTAAATTTCAAGCCATGTCTTGTAATTTCTTATCATGTGTATATGAGCAGTGTTTTATATTTGATCTTTGGGGATTTATTAAACGATGTTCAGCATTGCTTGTTTGTGGTATTAACACATTTTATAATAGCATATGCTTGTATGGCAGCTGCTTCTGAGGAATATTTAACTCTTATAAACTTCTGCATTAAGCAGATTGTTTGATAAGGTGTTTAGTACACTCCTATATTAAAAGGCATGGGTCAGCTAAAAATAAGTCTTCTTTGACTCAACCTAGTGTTGTTTCAGTTTGACTTTCTGTGCAACATAAAGTATAACGTTGGCACTTGTGGGTTTTTTCCATTCAGTGAAAGTGCATGTTGACCAAGACCAAGTCATCTCTTTATGCTTCAGAAATGAAGAACTAATTGAAGGACTGTTGTGACGAAAGACTCCTCTCACATACTTCAGTGTTTTTATACTTATTCATATCATTGATGCTTGATATAAGTCTTTGTATGTCATGTTAAGTGTTAAATGGTGAAAATAAATTTATGAAACTATATATATTTGTTTTTCTGTGTGCTCTTTATTTTGCCATACCTTTTGAATAGGTAGTCCGTTTTTCAGAACTCCAAAAGGCTTAGTAAAGGAAGATTTCTCCTGTCCTATCAATGAGTTGAACTAGTTTAATAATGCATGCATTAGTGACCTCCAGTGGTGATTTAAAAAAAAAAAAAAGGGAGCCTCCCTGCATGGGATTACCTTAATAGATATAACCGATAAAGTACTAATCATACTACTACTAAACACGCTGGCTGTAATGCTGCACTTCCTCTGTCTTCAGGACTTACAGTACTTAATTCTTCTTTGCATAGATTTGATAAGATGCTGGATTTGATCCATGTTTACGTGATGGCATCTCACAGTTACTGGAGATTTGTTGGCTGCAAATCCATGATGAAAATCTTGTTCCACCACATACCTTAGGATTGAGATGATCTGATGACAGTGAAGGCAATTTGAGTCAACTGAAACTTATTGTTATGTTTAAGAAACCAGTTTGCTTTGAGTACATGGAGCATTATCCTGCTGAGAGACAAGTGCATTCCTTTTTTTCTGGATCATTCACTGGAAGACCTATAGAGATGGCTTTGTGTAAAACCCTAAGTAGATTAGCATTTTCTAGAATACTAAGACCAGCCTGTATTGCTTTAACAATCATGCCATGTTCAAAGTCACCAATTTCTGATGCATTTAGGATTTTGATGCTTTTAAGCACAGGTTAATTATGAAAATGTAGCCCTATATACTGTACATTTCACTAATTATGTAGCCAGAGCTACTGTACGTATGGCTGCTTGCAACGTACACCGGCAAACTTGTGACCCGGAGCGGAGTTGACTGTTATGATGGGGTTTGACTGGAAGAATGGTTTCAGAAAGCAGATAAGACAAAAACAAAAGCCAAAAAAAAAAAGTAATAAACAAGTAAATCACAGGATGAGAATGTGGTAAGATCTAAAAACATGATAAAAATCAGAAGGCTTTTTTTCTTGATTGCTTTTGAAAACTTTGTTGGTTGGGTTTAGGAAAGTGGGTGGGTGGGTAAATCGGTGCTTTTGAAAACACTATCGCTTGGATTTAGGGAAGGAAGAGGGTAGGTCAGTTGATCGGTCAGTCAGTCAGTTGACATTGGCGGATTTATTTGAAAGTCGCAGGCGCAAATGGCAAAATTTGAAAGAGCATACACATCGGCCTGGTGGATTCACGATAACAAAACATACCTCCTTGGACTTAATTGGCACTCTCCAGAAATGAATTTAGCGATACGTTTTCAGAATGAGCCTAGGTTGTTCGCTTCACAACGTACAGTTGAAGTCAGAATTATTAGCCCTCCT